CTCGAACACTTGCTTTAGATGAGAGGGCTAACGAAAGTATTTGAGTGAAATAATTTTCACAAGAGATGGTGCTGTTCCAAGATGTTTGCATGGTCTGATATTTATCCAACAAAAGGTAAACATTCTCGAGAACGGGAGCATCCGCTGTGGACTGTAAGATCTTTTAGATTTCACGCTGAAAACAGCTGCAATAAAATGGATTATTAGACAGTTGTTAAGGTGTCATAACGTGAGATGGAAGCATTGTGTCCAGTGTTTGGTAAAATTCAAAGTAATTTCGCTTTTCCTTTTCAAGAAATTTATGATGAATTCAAGTTGGGAATATAATTTCAGAAAATAAGCACTTAGCAAGGTCATCAACTATAGAACATGTGAGTGAATGAAACACCGTGATTTCTTTTAGAAATTGACGAATGCACAACTAACTATCACAGATGCAATGTGAATGCTACTTGCCAGAATACCGTGGGCTCATACAAATGTACTTGCAAAGCTGGATACTGGATACTGGAAATGGCCGCAAATGCGTTGGTAAGTACTGAACTTTGCTTTAAATGTCTTCCATATTTTGCCCTTTTGCTTCGCAAACTGACCGACTTAGTTGTCCTCTGTTCTGATTTTATTTATTAGATTGTAGACTAAATAAATATGCTTTATAGTGTATGTACAGAACTGTTGTTATTTTCTCTATCTTTTGTGGTCAAAACTTACTGATAAGCCCCTAGTGGGTATTTAATCGGAATTCTGAGCAGTAAAAGAATACTTGCACTAATGTGTGCACTCTAAATCAGACAGATCTGTTTTAGCCCTAAAAATATGGCCGTTTCGGTAAGTAAAATACAATCCTATTTTTGAGTCTAATTTGGCGCCCTTAAATCAGGGCCAATACAGTCCAATTAGCTAGGGCTGATTTGGTCCCAGGGCTGAAATGGGCCCTAAAGTGGGCTGGAATAGCCTTTTGATTGAGCTTTTTTGGCCTGAATTGTGTTCAAATGGCTCCAGGAAGGGCTGAATCAGACTTTGGCCTACAGGGCTGAATTGACACTAGGGCTGAAACAGATCTTTTTAATTTTCAGTATGGAACAACCTTTTACACGAATTTTGATTCCTTTAATCAAAACAATTACGAACTTCCGTTTGGGGATGATTTGTTTTTACTTTAAGAACTTCACTGGTAATAACGTAAAAGTTTGATTTGATTTGAAAAAAAAAAAAAAACACTCGAAAACGAAAATGTCACTTTTAGACCTCAAGGTCGCCCCAATTCAGACTGAAGGCAATAAAAAAGCCCCAAGGGGTCTGATATGTCTGAATAGAGGAACGTCGGGAGGAAATGTCAAGGAAGGTATTGCCTTTTTTTTTTCGGCGCATGAAATCAATATTTCATTATATTGTCTGTGTCTTTAGAAATCGACGAGTGTAGGAGCAAAACCCATAACTGTAACAAAAAATGCGTTATGTAAGAACACTGAGGGGTCTTTTACTTGCACCTGCAATCGCGGTTTCAAGGGAGATGGAAAGAAGTGTAGAGGTATCTATCTAGCGCTCTTTAAAGGTGGCTTTCCAGCGTCGCGTAATTTTTACGTGCGTAGGCGCTTTAGTTTTAAGTACGTATATAAAATAACGGCTATGTATCAAAGGTTGCGTGTAAACGTAAAACTTGAACCTCGCTCAACTTTTACACGCGGCCTTTCATACATTGCCTCCAGGGCCCTGACTGCCTCTATTATATTTACGCGCGTACATTTTACTTGCGTACGCACATAAATATTACGCGGAAGTGGAAATCCACCCTAAGTTCTTGATCACCTAACGACAGTTTATACATCCAGCACGTGCGTTCATTCTATTGCTTGTATTTATTCTCCCTGGCACCGGTTGTTCAAACGTTGGATAGCGCTTTGCATCGGATGAATCACTACACAGTGGATAAGTATTAGTGAAACTTACTGCGTTATCTACTGGACGGTGATTTAACTAGCGGATAGCGTTATTCAGCTTTTGAACAAATTGTCCAGGTAACACTACCATAGCCACACAAGCCATCACGTTCTTCTGTAACGTAGAATTGAAAGAGTAGAATGTAAAGGAAGAATTATCAGTTTACTTGCCTTGTAAACGTAAAATAAATGCAATTTTATGATTTTCATGTAGATATCGACGAGTGTACAAGTAAAATCCATAACTGTGACAGAAATGCGTTATGTAAGAACACTGAAGGGTCTTTCACCTGCACCTGTAAACCTGGTTACAAGGGAGATGGCAAGAAGTGTAAAGGTAAATATCTCAGTAGAACACGCAATTATGGCAATTGCTTTTATTAGACTAAGTCAAACACATTGGTCGTGGATTCTTAGCCATGAACTGGGACTAGCCTACACTACAGGTTTAAGCCGAGGAATCTGTTCACATGCATTATTATTTTTAATGATTTTCCTCCCTAGTAGCCTCAACTCTAAGTTACTTCCAGCAACAGGAATCACTGCTCATCTGAATGAAT